AACAGGCTAAAGTTACTTCTATCCTATTGTATCTGAGGAGGAGCCATCAACCCTTCCAAACCAGAAAAAACATGTCATTTTGGATAATTCACAATAAAAAGAACCTGACAATTTACTGACATCTTTCTTCTTACTACTTTGTAACTCACACTAGTAAGCACATAATAAGTATATATCTACATATGGAAAAATCGTAAATTTTTATGCACAATGTTGTCAACCCATTTCTCCCTACAAACCTGAGACTTATTGGCACCTATAGGAAAAATCCTTTTCCAAAAAAAGGAAAATACCCAAAAGCAAATGATAACATTAATATACTTAATGCATAGTCACAAAGCCCTAAATACTCCATTTAAGATACCCAGCAAGTAAAACCTGTGGTAGGAGATGCCATTTCACTGTGATAAACACACTGTAAGTAGAGAAAGCAGAACATGCCCATAATGGGTGCAGACAACAGTTTGGAGGGGAAAAAAAAAAAAAAAGTGGGTCAATCTTGCAATTTCAAGTACAATTCTGAATTAAGAGCCTCACCAGAAGGGTTTCTAGGCCATTGTGAATATTGAAAGGCTTCCAATTAAGAGCAAGTATCATCTTAAATTAACACCGTGTTTCAGAGGTGCTGACTGCCTGAACTTAAAAACAATGACACCAAATTTTACTGCACAGAAGAAGCACAAGAGCAAGAGCCCGAGGGATTGCATCAATTTTGAAAGCCTGAGGAGTTAAAGAGCAGAGTGCAAAATGCCAAAGTGTAAAAAAAGAAAGGGAAAAGCTTTGCCTTCTAACAAGAAATAGATGGGGATGGTGTAATTCTCTTGAATTTTCAGCTGAGGAACAAGGCTTTGGTTTAAGTACATGTGTAGAAGCAGAGGCTGCAATCAAGTGACTTATTCTTCCAAGATTGAGCCCATACACCTCCAAGACACACACAGGGAAAAGCAATGGCAGAAGTTTTACAAGGCACATCTAGAGAGAAGCACAACTGGAGCAGAGCACAGGGAACTGCACTAATCCTTCCCTGGACTCCCAGGAGCTGGAGGAGAAGCAGTGTGTAATTATAATGCAGCTAAAGCCACCTACAGAACAGTTTTTGAGTTACTGGCAGGTGATGACACGACCACTTTAACAAAAAAGTCATTCAATCCCTGGTAGAGCTATTAATGCCTAAATAACATTTAATAGAGGTGATAATTATTTCACAGGTGAAACAAGGAGAGCTGAAGGCATCCTCCAAAAAGAAGCACTTATCATCATGTGCCATCCTACAATGCAGCAGAAAATCCAGAGCCTTCCCACAGTATCAGATTTGCTTTATTTCCATATCTTTGTTTCAGAGGAGCTTTTACTGAAGCTTAGAAGAAGCATTGCATATTATCACCTTCATAGGAAGCTGTATTTCCTAACACCAGGAAGCAAAGTTTTAGGAACTGAGAGCAAACTAAAGGCCACAGGCTCAAGACTGGAATTTTCCTGAGCTGTTTCTGCTCAGGACTCAAACACCGAAGTGGAAATTTCCCTAGGTGGAGTTCTTTGTTCGATGCCGCAGGCAATTAGAAGTCCCCAAGGTCTGCAGAAATGGCACAAGGCTGATATTTTTGTCAGGGAGAATTTAAGCAATACGAGACAAAAATAATAGCATGAAATTCTGCTGCAAAACACACCCTTTTTTTCCCCTCTCCCCCAAATCCTGGTGACTTGAGCAGGCAGCTAAGAGATGCAAGCATACAAGAGAGCTTTGGAAAAATATCAAACATTATTAAAAATAAAGCCGTATCAAGTCTGCATTGCCTTCAATTTGATTACACAAAAAGGTCAAGTAATAAAAAAAATCTTTGCACCTTCAAAGGTCTTGAGGGCACAGCAGAAGTAGTTTATCATTGGAATACAGATCTAATTAGCATAGATTTATTTTCTTTTTCCAGTTGGCATCAGTGTCCTGTTTGAATTTCTTGGGGACTTCACAATCAAAACAAGCAAAATTTAGACACATACGGCTATGGAAAGAAACACATTAATTGCTGGGATCCATGATTTCTCTAAACTCTTCTATTCATATTCATTTGGAAGAGAGACTGTCAGAGGTTATCAGCCATCCCCACACTGTGATCTGAAAGGGAGAACGACTGTCACCAGCACCAACCCTTGGGAACGCCCTAGTCAAGAGTTCAGATACAATAATTTAAGAGAAAAAAATAACCTGCCACTCCCCTTGCTCTGTCCTGCACAGAAAGAAAAACAGATTGTAGTTCATAAGAAGATTACTGGGTGTTCCAGGGACAGGGAATGGGAGCTAAGATAATCAAGAGACAGAAAATCCACCTAATGGGACCATGCCAATCTAGCTGAACTAATAACTGCAGACATGGTTACATGTTCTCCATAACTTTCAAATGACATCTTGATTATTTAAAAAAACCAATTGCTTGCATATTTTTCATCACATTAGCTGGTAAAATCCAGTAATGACCTCAGTGTAAACCCAGAACAAAACCATTTACTTCCTAAAGTAGGAAGTAAATCTCCACTCTCTCTGCATCAAGAGTGGTTCTTGAGCAAATCTGACAGCAATAAAGACTTGAGAGCTGCAGTCCCCCACCGACAAGACAATGGGAAAGAATGCAGCAAAAATAAGGATTAAAATGCCACAGTTGACATTTTATGCCAGCAGACGAAGGCGGCTATCATGCCTTCAGAGGAAGCAAATTGAATTGCAGGAAGATTTTCATTTTAATCCTTCTCTAAAAGGTCAGTGACCCCCTCTCTGGGGCCGCTGGCCCCTCCTGGCGTGTCAACACGTGACACAGCCACTCTCCCTCTCTGCCAGTCCTGGGACGGGCAAAACTTGGGATCTGTTTCATCACACAGACACCACCAGGCCTTGGAATAAAGTGACAGCTAGATTTGTTTTCCAAGCAGATTTTTCATGGCACATGTCCCTAAGCAGCAGATTCCAGAAGGGATATGCATAGCAGCCAAATTTGTCTCGGATGTAAGAGAGGAAGTGACCTACAGCTGGAGGAGTTGCCAAACAGGTGCAAGAGATTGGATGTAGCATCAGACAGTCCCCTGCCACCAAGGCAATGCCAAGGAACCTGATCTGGGCATTAGCTCCATGCCCTCAGAGCAGCTCCACCATCCTTCCTGCAAGATAACCTCCCCACGAGTTGTTCCACAAATAGTTATCAACCACGTCCCATTGATTTACAGAAATTTAACAGAAAGATTGGTACAAAGTATGTGGAATAGTATTCCTCAATAGCAACCAAACAAGCAGAAATCACGGACCAGACCAATTTCATACAACATCTATTAAAAATATCCAAGTTCACTGCCAGTTAGGAATTGCCACCAGCTTAGAGCAATAGATTTTTGCATCACCCTAAGGTAGATACTCTGCTTAACCAAGCTTGCTAAAATTTACTGTACACTCTCAAATCGAGCCATTAACAAACAGCCACCAGCCTTTTCTTTATCCAGCCCTAAATAACCCAGAACCTCCACAAGACTGATGCAGCTGTTTTGCATTTCCAAACAACATTCAGGCGTAGATTATTAAACTCTGTTTACGTGCCATTTCTCAAACTCAGCACATACTTAGATCCTTGTTTTGCTCCTTCCCTCTAATAAGACAAGTTATAGTAACAAGTTTTTAAACTCACAAGATTTTCTCCTACTCATCTTGTTGTCTGGAGAGCTAGATTACACTGAGCTTTTAGATTTAGGAAAAAGCTGGAATTTCCTCTGTCCAGTTATTTTCATATATGCAAATACAATACGCGTTTCGTACATACAAAAGTAATATATACTCGTTTATGTGTGCGCACGTGTGTATTTATGTATACACACACATACAAACACAGACTCCTATGGGCATCTAAGCCATTTCTATTTGAAATGCATAGCCTTTACACTTGGCTGAAGCATCTTCCCCGAATGCCGAGGTACCAGTTCTAACGCAAAGATTTATTTTGGATCCATCATCAACCAAATGGATTCGTTCAATCGAGATTCTTCTCTAGGGAATAGCCTTCTAACAGTCTTCAATGCTTCTGGACCCATCTGAAGCTGGCCGCTCCTGTTCCCGTGCCAAGAATGCCGAGGTCACGTCCCCAAAAAAACAGCCCCAAGCATCCCGGTGAGACGGAGCTTCCCGTCCAGATGAGCGGCCTGAGGGATACGGCTTTCGCGAAAACACCGGTATAATACGAACTCACCACCCCGGGAAGGTCTCAAAGACGCTGGACAATCTCCAGGCGGCTCCACACCAGCCGAGACACCCCGAATCCCGATTACCTCCCGCCTATGCGTCGGGTACCCCGGGGGAGCCCTCCCCCGCACCCCTCACACACCTCGATGTATCCGGCGAGCGCGGCCGCGGGCCCGAGAAGCGCCAGGAGGGGCAACATCGCGGAGCCCATCGCCGCCGCCATCACCCGCCGCCGCCCGAGCGCAACTGCGGCCGCAGCGCCCCTGCGGGGACCCGCCTCGCCAGGCCACGCCTCCGCCTAGAGTGACAGCCGCACGCGCCAATCGAGAGGCGGCAGCTAGCCTCACCTCCGCAACGCTAGCAGCCAATGGGACGAGGGGCACGGCGGGTGGAGCCGCCCCCCGGCGGAAAATGGCTGCCGGGGCTGACGGGAACCGTGGGGGGACAGTCAGGGTTGGGTGTGGCGTGGTCGGGCCTTGCCACATCAGGCTGCTACAGAAGCCAGGCCCGAGGAAAAACTCCGTATAGCGAGCACCGGAAAAGGCCGTGGCTTGTATGGCCATTTGTACGCTAAACGCTTCACCTCACCACTGCGGTGAGCAGGAACATTCTGGGGTAATAAAAGCCTAATGAGGCGTTTTCCTCATCTAAAAATAAAAACAATGATGTTTCCCACTCAAAAAACCGTCTCTACATCTATCCCCAATTTCTCAAAGCTCTCGACCCATGTGCAAGCATCAAGTTCCCAGCCATTTGGGTTTCATAATAAAACTCAATACATAGGTCCTTCTTTTTATTCTTATTTATTCTTTTTATTTTTTTTTTCTTAAAATACAGCTGTTGAACGATAAGAACGATAATCTTGATGGCTTCATCCTGCTGCCAACACCAGGTGCTCACCAGACACTACCTGGAAGACATCACATGTGCTGCTACACAAGCTGCTCAGTAAACACAGCACAGCTCTCCATAAACTTTAAATAACATGCATGTGTTTAAGCAAAAAACAGACACATCACCATCACCACCTTCAGTTTGTGTTTCTTTTGAATCAGAGCACAGCAGCAGTTTCTTCCAGTGCAGATGTTCTGCCACTGCTCGTGCTGCTATTTCAGGACATATTTCTGGCTTTAAAACCAGGTTTTTGTGCCAAATTGCATCGAGGGTATTTTAATTTCACCATGTTACTTTAAAAATGCAAATTTAAAATAATTAGAATTTTCAAATAAGCAAAACCTTCAGGAAAAAAGCAGATCTACCAAGTGTAGTTGCTGATACCACAGACCTTCCATATGTGTGCAGAGCATTTATTAGTCCCTTTTTAGTACTTTCCTTGGTTTTCCCAATGGAAATGTGGGTCAGTCAGCTCAGGGATGACAAATGACCACGCTGAAGATGCAACCGCTAAAGATCCCACTTGTTTCAAGAACATGAGATCTTTAAAAATACCAATATATTTTAGACTTGATGGATTTTTTTTCACACTGATGTGCAGTCAACCCATTGGCATTAAGTTAGAAAAGCAGTATCATGGAATCACAGAATGGTTTGGGTTGGAAAAGCTCATCTCGTTCCTGGCCCCTGCCATGGGCAGGGACACCTTCCACTAGACGAGGATAGACTATCGTATAGATTCCATATATTTGCTTTCATTTTTGTGTGAAGATATGCAAGGTGTTTAAATGGGATGGAAAAAGATCTTCGCACAGAATGTCCCAGTTACAAAACATTTCCATTCTTAACTTCCATATTCTTTACTGGCTCTTACAAGTGCTGTTTTCTGAAATAGGAACATTGCTGAAATGTTGCAGATGGGGTAAATCTGTATGACAGATCAATAAGCAGTCCTGTTTTAATTAAAATTGCTGACTGTTCCACTGGTCACTTACTACAGTCTCTTTCTTACACTATTTGAAAACCCTTAAATCTCTTTTACTGCAGTCCTCTGGCATATATAATTTTCCTTTTAGTCTGGCCAAGTTCAGTTGAAAAACAGAGTAACAAGTTGCTTTTGAAAACTGATACATTTTATGTAAGTATTTTAATGTGCAATATGAATACAGAAGTAAATAACAAGACAATTCTGAGTTAGACTTTTCCCTTTACTTAAAAAGGAGGGATGGTTTTTTTCCCCAGTCTAAAATGTACAAGTTCTTTATAAATCTTTGGGATGGGACTTTCATTCAAGGTTGAATTTATATAGTATTTAAAGTGCTATATAAAATTATTTACTTTTAATATTTACATAGTGCTTGGTGAGAATTTATGTTCACAGCACTGACTCCAACAGTGTGATCCTTGTTTTTCTGAAGAACTTTAAATCTGGTGACTCTTGGAGAAGTCTCTCTGATAAGTATGAGGTACAAACTTACCTGCATCCTCACCTGCTCCTAGTCCTGAACTGTAGATACACCAGGGTGTTAGAGCTGAAGTCCTGCGGTGAGGCTGCAACACAGGATATTCCTCTTCAAGAGCCAAGGCCATCAGTGCTCAGTTCACTGCCTAAAAAGCAAGTGAGAAATGAAAGTTTGAAGAATAACACATTTCCTTTCATACAGAGAGATCAGTCTTACCAGGACAAAAAGTCCCCAGAAAAAAAGGTTTTATCTCCAAGACCTTGGTCATTCCTTGGTGATGATCAGGAGCTCTACATGCAACTAAATTCATATGACTGCAGGATGGCAGGGAGAGAGATTGAGATAAGAGCCTCCAGCGAGATGCAAATGGAATTCCATCAGTTGGAAAAAACACAAAGGCTTTTAGCATGGAAAGGATTTGGAGATGGCTTTTTTCAGCCACCTGTCCACACAGGTCACTGCAGACATAGTGACATGATGGCCGTGTTTAATTCAGTGCAGAGGTCTGTTTCACATGAGCACTGGTACTTGTCTGTTGCCTGTGACAACAGCACCAATTTGAATCAATGCTCCAAGGCTGCAGCATTCCCTAAGACACCTCTGCTGCTGTTAAACCTGTTAGGTAGGCGACAGCTTACATTTACTTCCAAGAATCCTGTTTTACCCAAGTTCTGGAGCTCTTAGTGCCTTTTCCAGGACATCTGGGCTAATGAAGCACTGAGAATCTCATCCTCACCTTTGGCTGCCAATGTTTATTCTGTAAGAAATGTTTCAAGTGATCATCTCTGCCCCTTTTCACTTGCAAGACCATGATTGTGTAAACAAAAAGAGCATATTTGTGATTGCAAAAATGTGCTCTGAAAGAGTAATGTTAAATTCATGATAAAAAGAGCAAACAGAAGTCATCAAGGAATGCACCTGGTACCATTAAATTCTCTCATTAAAGCAGCAACTTTACAAAACTTACAAATTGAGATCCTTTCAGTACCTGGAGAATGAGTTCAGGAGAAGTGAGGAAATCTTTGAAGATTCCCACCATTCTCTTGAATTCCTGAAATTAAAGTGTAATATTAGTCTAACCAGTGAATTGTAATCCTATACAGCTAAATTTGATTGAAGATTTAAAAGGGGGATCGCATCATTCGTACTAGTTCTGTGTGACAGGTATGTGCAAGGTAGAGCTTGCAGAGGTAGAATTGAGTCAATCTGCATTTTAGGAGGTAGAATGCAAACTGAAGTTAGAAACAACTTAAGAATGTGGTGGGATTAAGTAAAGAACTCCCTATTGCTTATTACTGGAGTATCATAATCATACTCCAATTGTACTACTGCTGAATACAATTCAGCAATATAAGAAATACTAAGCAGTGCTTCTAGGAAAAATATAGTGCACAAATGATGCCCACCTAACTGCCCCAACTCATCTGGAGCCATCCTGCCCTTCAGGCAAGACCTCTACCTATCATCAAGGCTGTGTAACGGGCAGAAAGCAATGCAAAACTGTTACTAGCCAACTCAAACTTGATCCAACATCCAGCTATTTAAGTGCCTGTGGGACATAAATTTTCTCCAGACTCAAAAATAACATTAGAAGGTTGCCAGCCTCGTCTGGGATTGGACATCTGTATTTGGCTCCAGCACTTCTGTATGGAAGTCCAGGGTTCTTGCAGCCTTGCAGCTCAGCCTTCCATTTGTGACTCAAAATGACACAGTGGGGACAAGATGTAGGAAGTCCAGCAGCAGTGAGATGAAGGAAACTGCTGAAGAAACTGGGCTTAAGATATACAGTGAGAACAAAGATGCTCCATAGAAAGATGGTAACAAAAAATGCAGAAACATTGAGAGGCAGACAGGAGCTTAAAAACAAAAAGGTGATTTCTAGAGGAATACAGTGAGGTTTAGAAGAGTGAAAGGATGGAGAATAACTAAGAACAGATGCATAGCAAGTGGGGTCATACCATAAAAACAGGGATAAATGGAAAAACTGCAGACGTGAGAAAACCAGCACAGAAATCTGTGAAAAGAAGTTACACAGTAAATGGTGGTGGACAGTAAGCCTTTGTTTCTGCTCAGACTTCTTTAAAAGGGATTGGCAAAGAAGGGAGAAAATCTACCCTTCATTATACCAATAAACCCTTAACTCTTGCTAGCCATTTTCCCACTGCTCTGGTCCACGCCTGAAACAGTGTCATTCATCTGGCTTCCACTGACACATCTGAAGTGGGCAGATCTGCACAGCAGTTTGTGCTGTATTCACCTCAAACAGCACAGTCCTTGCCTACAGCATATAACAGACTGTTGAGGAAACAAGCCTGGCATTAATACTCCTGTAACTGAAAACTTCAAAATAACCCTTCTGTTAGGTTTGGAGATATTACAGCTTTGCTGAAGCACCAGCACAGAAAGGTTCAATTGCATTGGAAAATGAAAAATGCTGCCCTTAAGCATTAATCCAGGATGCTTAAGGGCAGCACAAGAGAGTGGCTGCTAAGGAAAGCTGCTGCTCCTTCAACACTCTGCATATGAATCTCAGCATCCAGAAAATGTGCTAAATCTATGATCTCCTGTCATTTCTAGATGGGGGGCAAAACCATTGGTGAACTTAATCGGACAATTTGTTTTTCTGAAGACTATCCAAGGCAAAAGCAACATCTGAGCGACAGGAGGAATTCGTTTTGGAATAGATTTGCACGTATGTAGGATTCACTTCCAGGAAAAGAAATTACTTCTGATATATAATTCAATAGAGTAATGAGCCCACATTCAGACTGAGGATCCCAAAAACAGAAATAGCAGACACTAGCCACCTTTTCAGCTAATAAACAAACTGGGAATTTATGCTGCTCATTTTCTCTCTACAGATGGATCCGAGGCTTTGAGCACTGGCAGGATCTCAAGGCAGAGCAATGCCTGATGTTTCTCCAAGGAACTGAACCCAAACATCGAACGTGACACTTCAAGAGAGAACTCAAAAAATTGAGGTTCTAGAGGTCTACAAGTAAAGGCACAGAGAAGACGCGGTGGGGAGAGAGGAAGGAGAGGCTGCTTTGCAGAAAATATTTAGTGAACTCTCATCCTCTTGCTTGATAAGACATATCATCCTGCAATGGCATCCTGTCTCCTTTATCTCTTCTAGTCCACCTGTGAAGACAAGCAATGTTTAACCTCTGAAGATGGCAGAGTCAGTCGTTCATGAATCAAAGCAACCAAACCATTCCAGCCTAAATAAGCTGAGTCCCACAGCTGTGGTAGAGAAGACGTCTGAAAGAGAAAAAGCCCACAATTAAAAAGAATCTATCAACAACTGATATTGGCTCATTACGGTGCTGAGATTTCTCCTGTTGTCCTTGGATGTTTCTTCCCTCGCCCCTCCTCTGCTTTCCTGTCTCAGTCATTTCAGCAGTGTGAAAGGTTGTTCATTTTACAGAGGTCTTTAATGAAAGATGAAAATTCAAATATGTTATAATTAGCTGCAGTTCCACATAAGTCAGTATTATTGCAGCTTTTATATTAGATCCTCATTTGTCCCACAAATGATTGTGTCAAATATTACAGTAGAATGATTAATGACATCAGACATAATGGAAGGATTAAGCATTGATACAGGAGACTTGCTTGAGAAGAATAATTTTAACTTCTTTTCACTCATAATTTATTTCTGTCCTCTACTGTAAAAGAAACCTGAAATTGAAAATAAAAATGGCTTGTGTTACTGGCAAGTAACAGAAGAGATCTGATTCATGATTTAATTCTTCATTCAGTATTCATTGGTAGATTAAAAGCCAAATCATCGTAACAAATGGCACAGCAATGAACAACATGGAATATAAAAACCTCAGGACTTGTCCTGCTGAATAAATGTGGAATCATTTGCATCTTTGAAGATAAGTGTAATTCAACAGCAAAAAACTGATTCCTCCCTCTGCAATCAGGTCTGATTCAGCATCTGTTCCATCAGGCCTCATGGAATTGCCTGTGCTAACAAGCTGTTTCACGGCACACCAAAGTCACCTTTTATTTCACCCCCAATCACTTGTTTGAGCAGTTACTCAGTTTGCAAGAACAAGGTGCATGAGGAATTTATGACACAGGAACAGGCAATAAGGAATTTAAAATGTCTAGGAGACACATCATGTCTGATAATACAAATTACTGGGAACTGTAGTTTTCCATCAGCTGCATGGTACCTTTAAGTGGTTTTTTTTTCCCTGTTGCACTTAAAAGCAGAATAGCTTCAAAAATCCCCTCCTTACTTTAATTTGGTATCAGCCCAGAAGGCTGCAGTTTGAATCATTCTATTTAAACAAATATTAAGACATTTCCTGTTACAATCACTGGGGCCTCACAGTTCTCAATCACCGAGTCATCCTTCTTATTTCAACACATGAATATTGATTTTAGGTGCTCGAAATGCACACCTGGAGACACAGGACCTGCAGCTTTGCCTCCAGCACTATTACCAGACCCAACATTGGGAAGGAGCTGTAGGGTCTTTTCTGAGCAGCAGCCTGGTCTTCCACTGATAGTCGGAGGAAAATCAGTAGGATACAGGAATTCCCAGTCACAGGAATTCATATTTGCAGACCTTGCTCTACAAGTTCTTTATTTCAATGCTCCAAATACACCCAGGGCTCTACAGCACTATTGACTTACAAACTCATTCAAGAGAAATGCTTCATATTGGCTCCAGGGTTTTTATAACCTTTGAAACAGAGTTCTTTGGAGGGCCACAAGAAGTGAGATGCAGCAGTGCTTTGGCAGGTTTTAAACTCCCAAAGCAGCAAGAAGTTTGAATATAGGTTCTCTTGGTGATAAGAAATACAGAAATACATGTATTTGAAGTCAGTGTCAGTTGAATAAAGGCAAAGAGCAGGACACAGCTGAAAAGAACTAGGACATGTAAGTAGAAGTGAATCCCAGTGTCTCCAAGGGGGTGGAGAGGGCCGCCTACACCTTTCACCCCAAACACTTGGCCTGAGGGGGAAAACAGCCTCTTTCTGAATCACATTTTCACAGAAGTTGAGTCAGCTCCTGAGAGATCTTTAACTAAGTCTCTGTTCTGCAACTTTCCAATAGTCTTTTCCCATATCTTGCAAAAGGCTGAATTTGAACTTGCTCCTTTTATTTTACCATGATTTTCCCTCACAGGAAGAGAGAACAGCCTGCATCTTTCGCCACTCAAAGCTTGCCAGGGCTTGAAGATCCCTTTTCTCCCCCAAAATTAAAGACATTTTGCCCCACAATAATGAAAAACACCATTTTGAAGGAGAGCTTCACACTGATATCAGTGTATTCAGTGTTTTTGGAAGCAAATTACTAGGCTTCCTCCAACTCTAGGCATTCCTGCCTTGTCCCAGTCACTTGGTTGACTCCCCAAGATTTCCACCAAAATGTAGCTCATTGGCTAAGTTATAGAAAAGGAGTCTTAAGTAGAGCACTCTATTGAGGTTTGAGTTTTCACTTTAAAATGCAAACGGATGGTAGTTAATTCCCCTTTGGGATTTAAGAGCTTAATTTAAAATGGGAAATGATGATACAAAAATATCTATCAGAAAGCATTGCAGTGTGAGAATGAATCCTTTGCCACATGAATGCAGATTCTTAGGGTCAGCAGATATCTTCATTTACCTGTATTTTAATAGTTTCCCTCAAAACTCCTTTTGGCTAAATTCTTCCTCAGTGTACTACTTGGTACAGTCTCAGTGGACAACAATAAAGGCAAAATTTGACCATGTTTTCTATTTTCTAAAATCTTATAGATCAGCATATTTAAACACATCAATATTTTGCTGGGTATATAAATAACACCCTCATTTCTGTTAAGATGTCTAACAAGACCTTTTCCATACTTACTGAAAATACAGCTGGATGGCAAGCCCATTTGCCAATTCTTTGTCAACTGAGAAGGCTAAAAAGCAATCAAAAAAAAAAAAAGCTGCTTAGCAAAGATGTTAAATCAATGTTCGCTAATCAATTGCACAAGTCTTCCATCTCCCTTTCTTTTTCACAGCTACTATTTTACTTCTAACAGGGGAGAAAATAAGTATATATAATTATGTCTTTAGATCAATTTATGCTTAAACACATACACACACAGATACACCTCTGCAACCTTACAGGGACCTGGTGATGCAAGTACTCTAATCTGTAGTTAAAATTCAGAATGCTCCAATCCTTGCATGATCAGAACTTAAGTAACTCAACCAGATTCCTTCCATTTGTTCTGTCTTCTAGAACATATATCTGTACATAACCCTTCAAAAGAATCACTTGTATGCACACAGACACTGGCAAAAACACATCCACCAGTTTTCATAAACCTTATCCCAGCAAAGGATGGAAGTGCATCAGCATGAGATAAAAAATACAGATCACAGCAGGCAACTGCAAAGTTCCTTGTCTATATTTAGAAAGGTGTAAACCTGGGATCAGGGTGATAATTTGTAGAAATAGAATAGAAATTAGAAATAGAAATAGACTAGAATAGAATAGAAAATAGAAATAGAATAGAAATTATTTGTATTTGGATACACTTTCTTTGGCACCTGGGTGCAGAGCTCTGGCCAGGAAGCACATGTGGGGTGGTAAAATGGGAGCAGCCCCCAAGCCAGGTGTTCCCCTGGCCAGCACCATGTACTGATCCAGCATCAGCTGGATCATCTAGAAAAAGCACATGGGTAGATCTCTTGGCAGGGTCAGTAATTAAATATTTGTACCACCTCAAAACCTAAAAAACAATGACTTACACAAGACTTATTTCAAGCTTTCCCTCTGTCAGTACAAGAATGTATCAAAGAGTCAAACTTTTTGGTTTTGCCCTTCTTTTTGTTTCCATGTTTTTCTTGCATATTGCAAACTGTCCAATTTCTCCAGGCTCTGTTCTCTTTTTGTTGTTGTTGTTGTTGTTGTTGTTGTTGTTGTTGTTAGACTGACTTCAGTCAAACCCTAGATCTGAAAGTCCCCAAACAATCAACAAAGAACATATTTCAGTGTGGTAAGTTTGAGAAGTCACAATAAGGACTGTGGTATAGTACTATGATATCACTCACAGAGGACTGTTACTTCATTGTGAATGGAAACAGCATCTGGCATGGGGCAGGAAATAATTTACCAAAGGAGAATCCAAGAAGTACAGCAATGAAAAATAAGATTCAAATGAGTTTATGGCTAGGTAAGTTGTTGTCTTTGTTGGGAAGATGTTTCTTTAAAGTCAGGGAAGGAAAAATATGGCACATTATGTCTTTTTGCCACCTTCAACTCCAATGTTTGTCAATAGCTTTTTAACAATTGCATGATTCACTATTGAGTGTTCCATGCCAAGAGAAGTCAGTATTCTGTACAGCAGAGGGCTCTTTCATTCCTTTTTATTTCATATTTCTGTTATCCACCAACATGTCAGCTGTGAAATAAAACCTGGAGAAAAACTTTGAAAGGAGATAAATTCCCAGCAGGTGTCACAAAAATATTGAATTGACATTTAGTCTTCATTACACCTTCTGTGTGGTTTTGCTATGTTACAGTTGCTCTGTACTAAATTAAATAAGAGTTTTTAAATACTTTTTTCTACACTAAAAGAGAAAGTGAGCAGGTAAAAATAAAACTAGGTAAGTGATGGGAAAAAAAGAGAAACAGCATCACCAGCACAGTTCCTAAAAGTTCTGCAGGGAATTAATGAGGAAAGAGCAGAAAAGGGGAGCCAGGATGTGGAATTCAGTGCAAAGAAGAATACAGGAAATCACAGAATCCCAGAATGTTTTGGATTGAAAGGGGACCTCAAAGCCCATCTCATTCCACCCCTTCCATGGGCAGGGGAGACCTTCCACTAGACCAGGTTGCTCCAACATGGAGCATCCAACATGGCCATAAACACTTCCAGGGATGGGGCAGCCACAGCTTCTCTGTGCATTTACAACCTTTTGAGGTTGAGGAGAACCACTAAGATGTGAAGCAGCTCATTCAACTTTTAGGGTATTCTTGAGTGAAACAGAACTTGCCAGAGAGATTGATTCAGCCCATACTAAACTGATCCAAGTAGTGAAAAATGACCTTGTCATCTTAGGCCTATTCCTGTTCTTTGCCTTCCTGAATACCTCAGCAATTATAAGAATAACTTTCAAGATAATCTTACTACAGTGGCAACAACATTTCAGTGTAAAAATCAGCTTCTGAGGGACTGGGCCTGCAGCTGCCAAGTTTTTTGATTAAAAATACTCAACATTTGCCTTGAGAAGTGCCATTGCTATTACCATGCTCTATTATTCAGGCAAATGTACTAAGCAGCACATTTTGGAAATTAGGGATCAATGTCTGGGCTCTTTTGATAAACTTGAAGAGTCCAGATCCTACCTGAGCTCCCAGTGGGGTATACTGGCTTTAGAGACAGTCTTCCCAAGTAAACAGATTTAAGAGCCCTGTGAAATACCAGTTGTATTCTAACAGCAAAACTCTGGAAACAAGTCTCCAGGGGGATCCCTGCAAAATGAAGGCAGAGCAGGCAGAGCAAACCCAACATGATGCAGGACACACCGCGCTATCGGCTGGAACTGCAGCAAATCTTCTATTGTGAACTGCAGCCTCATGCTCAGGCAAGCAAATCTGGAATTTTTCCACTATGTGCAGGCTGGAGTTACAGGAATTCAAAGCAACAGTTTAACAATTCCATAATAACAGAGAAATGCAAAGTCCTGTCCTAACTTAACCATGTAAATCTGCTGCTTTGAAAAAAAGCACCTTTGTTTTGGGTCAGGTTTGCCAGGTGCCTGGGCACACCTGGAATACATAACATTTGGGTGCACCTGGATAACATCACCTGAACTTTGACAATGAAGATTATTTCCTGAAAAAAGACTAGCTCAAAAGGTTATGCTCTGTTCACTAAAAGATTTTGGGGAAGCAAATTTGTTATTTCTTCCCAGGCTATGATATCTGCATCCTTCCTCCAGTGTTTGACTGAAGCACAGCAGAAGCCCTGACAGCATTCCCTGCTCTGGGCAGGTCTGTGCTTTCCCCTTGAACAGCACAATCTTATGTTTTTCCTGTCTGTGTGACTACAGAAGTTTCTTATTTGTAGCCATCTTCACCGAGGCAGAGGCCGCAGCTTCAATCTTAATGGCTGTCTGGAATGATATCATTTGGTTTTTATCAGCTTCAGAGATAAGGCAGCCTTAACTCCCTGGCAAAATCCTGGCACTTGCTCCATTTGATTACTCCTGTTCTCCTAAACCAGGTGTTTTCAAAGGTATTCATATACCTGTCTACAGTGTGGGTGGAATATACTTAACTTCCAACTCAGTTAAGTTGGAAAACATTCCCTCCTTTTAAGCTAATCACTCACTAAACAAACATGTCTCTTCTACCCAGACAACTACCCTCTTGAAGGACACATCCGACTGCAAAGAACCATGCTGCAAAAATACTTTGAATGTAGTCCAAAATGACACCAGTCCTAGGGTCTGCTCAGACAGCACCTGCTGCACAGTCAGAACTCACACAGGAAACCCCAGTCCCCAAGTGGTGACAACACAACCCCACCCACAGGCCGCCCATAAGGGGGGTTTCTTAAAATCTCAGAATGCTGTAAGATAATGTCAGCAGTGTTTTTCTTTCCAAAGACCTAATTTTTAAAATGTTATGATAAAAAATTAAAGAATAACCTAAGACCATGGTAAGTAAAGGCTTGAAATTAAGGGAAAAAAAATCCAACCACAACTGTATTTTCTTTTTTGTGCACCAGTCCTATAAGCTGTTAACAAATAGGGTAATAATACAAATATTAGATTTAAGACCGACTCGATTTATACCTTTATGAAAAAAAAAGCCAAAACCAACTTCTCCAAGAACCCATGGCTAAATCAGGCCTAAGATCTACCTTTAACACCTGAGCAGCAGTACACCACTAAGTAAGACTTCAGAGGCCACTAATAAATCCTCCTGATCCTAAACAGCTTCACTTGGGACTATCCCCCCTGACCCAAGCCCAGGAGTCCTACTTAAGCCAAGTTTAGGGCCATTGCTTCTTGTCTGAGTAATTCTAGAGGAGTCTTGGGTTTTAGCTTAGTATCAACTGTAACTGGCTATGGATCTTGAATCTGTGCTATTGCTGTAGATTAGGTAAGTTACTAATGGATTTTGTCTTACTTTCATTACCAGCCTCCATCATGACATGCAAATTTGATTCTAATTTTGGACTCAGGTCTGCCTTGTCCTCTTGAACTTGCCTGCTGATCTGTATTTTTGAATGCTCTCTGGATGTCATCTCTAGATGAACCTTAGTTATCTTCTATAGGTGCTGAAGGATGGAATGGGAACTGGTGAGTATTTCCACAAGCTTGGACATCCAGACATTTAGATAAGAGCTGGAGCTATCCCAGGGGATGTTTTTTGCCCTTAAAAATCAATCACTTTCTAGAACTGCATCATCTGTAATGAAATCTTCTCTGTAAAAGCCCTGTTGCCCCACTAGAGCAGAAGGGCTCGGTAGACAGCTGGGAATGAGGAATGTGCTAGACAGCAGGAAACAAAAGAAACATGGTTTGTGTAGTCTGACAAAACAAACCTCAGTAAGGATGTGATTGCTGTCTATAAACACATCAGGAGAGTAAACACTGCGGGTAAGGATAAAGACCCTACTTAAAAGGCATGAAATAAGTAGAAATAGACTTTAGAAAAAAGAAGCAACTTGTCTTCAATGATGTTTTTAGTTTCTTGTTCAAAACTGCAAGAATAAACATCTCAGTTTCTCACCAGGGAAAGCCTGCTCAAGTTATGTACTGAGGTGTCTGTGACAGAGAGGATTTGGTAGCTTGGAAACCCTCTGCGAGCTCCTACATCCATCAGGTCAGACTTCTAATTTCTAATTTCTGCAGAAGGAGAAAGACTGACCATCTGACAGAAAAATATTTTTATCTTTATACATCCTGAAAAAGGATACAGAGTTTTCCCAGCTAGGAGACTTACTTTTAGCTCTTCTATAAAAAGCCAAGATAAACAAGAGTCTAGAGTTAGTACATGTACTAAATTAAATATCAAAATACAATTTTTTAAAAGAAAATGTGGCTGTTGTCTAAACATCTACCATAAGTTATCACTGAATGTGGTTTTATGTTGCCCCTTTTATTCATCTACCAAATGTATGCAGAAGCAGGAGGAAGATCTCTGAAGGTCCCTTCTTTCCTGACAGAGGTGGAGGAAAGCTGACTGTCATCACCACATTTTGAAAAAGGCTGTCAAAGGCTGAATCAAATCCTTTCCCAGTGCTGGAGACAAATCTTCTGGAAAAATTAAAAATCTTGTATAATGCGCTATAATTTTAATAATTTTATAATTTTAAATAGAGTAATAATTTTAATAGAGACTATTAAACCTTTATTTAGCTTTCTAGTGAACTCATAAATATCAAAAAGCATGGAGAGTTTCCTGAGTCATTCTGGCCTGATTAATGGAAAGGAAACCCAAACACCCTCTGTGTTTACTTTGCAGTTGATGCACAAATTATTTCCTACTAATGACAATGCTTCTACACAACCGGGGCTGGGTCATGGAGACATCTGAACTCCAGTGGGAAATCAGCTGGTAGTGTTGGGTGCTGGCAGTTTAGGGCTGTCAGGATCATGGTAGCTGAGATCCTTCCCAGAGAAGAAATGTGTGCACTAAATTAACGGTAATCCAGCTAAAGAAGTAGCTGACCTGGATTTGAAAGTGAACTACATCTGTCCAGCACAGATTTCTGGGAAATGCTCCAAGAATGAACAAGTCTGGCAATGCAGAGAAGAACTGGGTTGCACTGGAGTTACTGTTCTTGCCTAAACTGGACTGACTGGAACCACGACATGCTACCTGAGGACAGGCTGGGGCTCCACAGGAGCAGCTGAGCACAAGAAGGAAAAATCCCTTTCTAACCCTGCAGAATCTTGCAAAGAGACAGTTTGCAGCAAAAGCTATGATATGCCAAGCTCCCAGTTGATTTGTCTCCTTAAAACCATGGGATGTCAAGGCATCATCAGGAGCAGCAGCTGCCTTTATAAATATTGTTCTAATGGAGTCAGGGAGATGTTGGTGTGTGAGGGGCAAAATATTTTCTCTGCAGGCATTTTGGCATCAGGACTTACTTTTCCTATCCCAACACCCCAGCAGAGCTTTGCTAAATAGATTTTCAGTGAACTGAAAAGCTGCCTTTTCCTAAAACTTGCTGTATCTTTTACCAAATGACCAGTGAATATTAGGGGGATTGGGGGGCGGGGTGATTATGCAAGTTGTTTCCTGACTTATTTTTGTGCCTCTTTGGAGGCACAATTTCTCATTGGAAGAGAAATGCCACTTGGTTGGGTACAAACGAGGCAAAAAGAGAGCCAATAGTGAATGCATGAGGTGAATGCTTCAGCTATGGTATGTTTTTCATTTAAAATAAAATTTAAATTTTTGAGTTGATGTAGATACTATTACAACACCCTCAAACTTGTTTTAGTCATTTTTTTTCTTGCAGTTAAAGGGGTTAATTCAGCATGTTTAAAAAAAACAGACTAATTTTTGGGGGGAGGAGTGATCCTGAGAACCAAAATAAAATAACTTTATTGTACTTGTATGTGTTTTACATGAGGCCATTTTAATTAAATTTATTGTGGCTTACTCTAAACTAGTGAATTTATATTTTGTATTCTCTGTGCGGGATGGAAAAGTAATTACATTTCAGTTGCATTATAATTTAGCAGGTTGTAACAGACACAGGGACAGAGCTAAAGTTCTTCCATCTTCTCAATTGGAGTTTTAAATCACAGCCAGCTGCTGACTTGCATGAGGGTGGGAAGTGGGCGCCACAAAGCATAGCCCAATTCCATGTGCAGTTTAATTTAGGAATCTAGACCTAAGTACCTACTTGTCATGCACAGAATGAGACTGGGAGGTCACCAGGACCAGGAAGGCAGTGGCTGCTTCTATAACTCAAATGAGTTTAGAGCACTTGAGCATTTTTCTTTGTCATATTTAATCTATATGTTCCTCAAAATGGGATTATGTCATGGAGAAAAACCCAATAACCCAAACAAAACCTGAAATGTCCATATGGATGGGAAAAAACAGAAAATCTGTCTAGGGGTCTGAGAGAGGCTTGGGGAGCAGCTTTAGGGAGTAGGGTCCAGGTATGGGAGGCTTCTTTTTATGGCAGAGACTTAGGAGTGGTTTTTCTGGGTGAAAGGAAGGGGTGAGGAGGTCCAAGGAAAAGAGGGCAGAAAGATATTCATGAGTAAATTAAATGGGGTGGAGTTCCAGTGTGCTTTTCTACCTGGAATCTGAAAAGGGGGGAGAAGCCAGTCAGTACACTTGCTTCCATCTGGGAACTAGTGGAGAAATTAACGTTCGAGTCACCAGAGGGAAGAGGCAGAACTGGTTTCTGTCAGATGAGAGAAATTGCTGCAGCAGCAGCATCCAAATGAGATGATGCAGGGATGGAGACACGGATCTGATGGCCTGGGAGCTGAGCAGGGAAAGGAGGATTTTCAGGAGGGTTACAGCACCTTCCAGACTGGAGGTGAAGAGGGGTATTTCATGTAGTACCCTTGAACTATGCAGATTAGAAATAAATAAATTAACCTCACGTGAAGGCCTCCCTCTCTGCCAGCACAAGGCTGTGGGGGAAACAAAGCCTGTGCTGGAACATCAGAAACAACACATCAAATGTGGGAATTACAATAGGCATTACATCAGATGCCGGATACTGCAGGGTATGAATCAGACCAGCATCTGGCAGCTTTGGTGCATCCACAGCAAACTTGCACTAATTTGACTACAAAGGGAAAAAAAATTACCTGTGGAATGACTTTCAATGTGAGCCCTGTTTCAGGAAAGGGCACTGTTCTGTATTCCACCATGGGGCTACAGCTCTTGTGGTAGAGCCACCAAGTCTTCAAAAATGTTAGGGAGACTTTTGGAAAACGTAAATAAAAATACACTTTGATTTTTTAAAAAAAAGTAACGCATGCAGGTTTTAAAATTTATAAGAAATAAAGCAGTTTTGATTGCTTTTATGTGTTTCCTTGCTGTCCTGAAGTTTCAGTACAGTATAATGAAATTGAAGCTGTTTCTATGGGACAGAGAAATAAACTGGCTCCATGACTCCCACAATTTAAATTAAGATAACTGCCCAGAGATGTAAAGAAGTATAGTTAGGGGGAAAAAAATGAACAAACTTCTAAATTAAACTATTTCTGCTGACTTGAGGTTTAAAACCCATATCTAACATTTTAATATCAAGTTCATAAACACAATTTAGAAAATTTGTATCTCTGGGCTGTTTTTGAAATTTTGATTGCTCATGGAAGGGGGTCATTACAACAGGGGATGATTTCAATTTACAACAGCAGCTCTTAATTTAAAAGACTAGTCCAGGTTTTAAAAAGACAGACCTAATGGAGAGTTACATTTAATGGCACCAAGATCTGACCCTCTCACTGGTCTCCCAGCACAGAGACTGAGCAAAACCAGTTCTGTAAAAGTAATGATTAATATTTAACCCAAATTTCCCCTATCTGTCCTCCTGGGCTTTGGTCAGTTGGCCACAATGGCCCATTGAGGGATCTGTAGCTGCCCACACTGCAGTGAACAGTGGTATACACACAGTCCATGAAGCCATTTAGAATAAAACGAAAAGGCCCTAAACACAGGGATTGTCTGGCTTAAGTATCTACTGTGCTACTTGATTAAAGAGCTACCCGAGTGTGCGCTAATGGCAAATGAGTGATAAGAAATGGATGTTTTTCCTTGCCACCATAATACAAATAGATAAATACTAAACACAAATATGGCAGCAACCACACTGGAATGACCAATTAGTTACATTTTTGAACAAGAGTATTATCCTTCTTTGAGCAGACATTTAGGACTCACACACATGTACCATGAAAAAAATTGTTAGAGCACTATTTAGGGACGTTTTAGGCAGAAGGAGCCCTTTAGTGGGCATTTTCTCATGGGTTGACCTTCAACAGATATTAATAGCTCACATTTCAGCTTTAAGTAAAATTCCAGTGGAATCCACTGGTTTTGACACAATTTTAGGTAACTATGCTCCAAGGGCCTGCCAGATAGCGCTGAAGGGGCTGCAGAGCATTGCGGATGGGATTTCACGAGAAGTTTGGGAGTCACCTCCTTATCCAGAAGGGAGCGGGGAATGGGCCCGGTCCTATCTGTCCGGGAAAATTCGGAGTGTGGGACGTCGGAGGTGTCGCCGCCCTGCCCCTTCCTGCCACCAGGGGGCGCGCGGCGCCCCCCCCCGCCACCCCACAGCAGGGGGCACTGCTGGCGGCGCCCACACCCTCAGTGCGGGGGCGGAGCGCCGCGATGAAAAGCGCGCTCTGATTGGCGAAGATATCCCTGGCGGGGATGAGAGAGGGGCTCTGATTGGCGGCCAGCAGCCGAAGGTGAGAGTAAAAACCTGGGCAGAAGACATTCCCCCCCCCCCCCCCCCCCCCGCTCCCCTCCCCTCCCCTCCCCTCCCCTGCGGATCGGGGTGTGTGTCGTCCCAGCCCCCCCCCCTCCCCCCGGCGCCTCAGCCCCCTGACCTGGGCGCTCTAAGCCTTTCCTTGGGGAATTCTGTGCCCCACCGTGGCTGGCGGAGGAGTTTCAGCCAATCAGCGCGCGACGCCGCGGCCTGTTGCCAGGCAGATTATGGTAATGAGGCCTGGGCCACCACCCACACCCCCCCCCCTCCCGCTCTGCAGCTACCATTGTGAGGTGAGGACAGGTGGGGGGGTTCGGGGCCGCCGCAGGGCCGGCGGCAGCGGCCGGGGCTCGGCGCCCACACGGGACCCCCTCAGGTAACGCGATGGGACGGTCCGGGAGGGCAGCGCGGCCCGGGGACGCCGCGGGGACCCGCCGGGGGTTTTAGACTTGTTGTTTTAGTCGCATCCAAGATGGCGCCCAGAGCTGGCGGTGCAGGGCCGGGATAAACCGTTCGCTCCCGCCAGTGGGGGGGGGAAGAGGAAGTAGGGCGTACTCATTCCCTTCCCCCCACACCCCGCGGGAGAGGTACAGTCCGCTTTCCCCCCACCCTAGCCGGGATCCCCCACCCGCCCCGGACACGGGAAGAAGGGGGTGTCCCCACCCTTGTTCCCCCCTCCCTACGTAGTACGGTCCGGACCCCGGCACCTGAGCGGCGGGGGGGGGGAGGGTGCCGGAGCCATGTTTTGCCTCCCCAGCGCTGCCGGGGGGAGGGGGGTCTCATCTCTCCACCATAATTCTGGGCCGCTCGCACCGCGCTCTGCCCAGCTCCCCCTCCTTCGGCGACTGGCCCGGCCCGGCCCGTCCCGTCTACTCAGCGACTGCCCTGGCGGCCCGCCCGTGTCCCTCGTCGGCGCTCAGTGGTTGGGACCGGCTGGCCGCCGGGCGCTCTCACACGAGGGGCTGATGGCACCGCTGCCCTTAGGCGGGGGAGGATGGGGGGGGCGCGGCGGCGGGAAGCGGGCGGTATGAGGGAGGGGGGGGCACTCACGCCTGCCGATTGGCCACATGCCTCGCGCCCCTGCCTCCTATTGGCCTAGTTAGGGGAGGGGGCGTCTCACCCCGTCTTCGGATTGGCTGTTGGTGGCCGTGGCGACTGTATCAGAGGGTGTGGGTGCAGGTACTCCAGTGTACCCTGTAAGGCGTAGTGGTGCGCTGTGTTCTGCGCGTTCCACCCTCATAAGGGTCCCTTGCCCCAGGGGGCCTGTTGGGCATTTGTGTGGCCCCAATAGGGCAAGGCTCCTGGCTGGGTAGCCCTGAGGCTTGGTGGCCCTGAGGCTTCGTGTTGAGGGAAGTTAGGCCCTTCCCCACTGCCCTGAGGTAGTTTCATTCATGAAGGTCCTGGTGCGAATAGCAGCAGTTGCGGCAGGTGGAAGCTGTGGAGTTCAAGGGTCTCCTGACAGTGGTCTTGGTGCCAAAAACCCTGTTCCTGTGGTCTTGGTATGGTTGTAGCAAGTGGATGCTTGATCTCGAGGCTCTCTTGCTTTGTGGGTGTTGGTGTTGAGTTGTCCTGTTTCCCCTCCTGTGCGCCAGTTCCATTAAAAGTGAGTTTATGTGAGTTTGTTAAATAGTTGAGTTGGAATGGAAGAACGAGGTCCTGATGCTGTGCATTTCAGAATTACTCATCCTAAAGGGATAATTCACATTTTTTAGGGTTATTTCCCTGTACAAGAGCTATGTGTGGTCACCTTTTACCTCTCAGCTGGACATTGCAGAGCCTCAGGAGAGCTCTTACAGGATTCCTAAATTATAATTTAAACTTGCTTTAGGCTACTGACAGTAGTCATAATCCTGACAGTGAAATGAAGGTTCAGTATTTGTGATGCACTTTTTGGTACCTCAGCATCCTGTCTAGTGTATCGCTATATGGTTATATATTTATGGTTCTTACAGGCCTTTAAAGAATGATCAAGTGCAAAGCTGGGTATGTGAAATGCCTATCAATGTTTCCCCGTGAGTTTCAATGGGAATAGAGACTATACTGAACTTTTGCTTTCTTCTGTCAGATTTTTAATAATTTAGGTTTTTTTTTCTTATAGTTCAGTTAGAAGATGAGATGCTAATGAATCACCAACTGATTTTACAAGAGGATTCTTTGATCTTTTGTGGACACAATAAAATAATTGGCAGTCTTGAGCCTTCTAATGCCTTCATTTATAGGAAAACTAATACAGAAGTGTGTATTGCTCTAGTCCGTCCTTAAATGGAAAACTTCTCTCTGAAATTGTGATGGCTTTTGACATTTTGCTTCATGGATACTTCTCTTGTGCAAAAAGAGACAGCTTTATTATCTTTTTTATAAGATAAAATATCGGAGTAGTTGTTATTATTGTTATCTGATAGAATAATTGACAATTTGATTTTAGAGAGAAATGGGTCTGTAGTATTGTCTGCTTTCCTCTGGCACCCTTAGTCCTATCCTTTGCAGAAAATCTTTGGATGAGCACTCGTGGGGTGAATTGCTCTGCAGTGAGCAGCCGTTTCCAGTGTGTTCCTGGCCACCTGCAGCTGCTGGCAGCTGTGTACACTTGAATTCTAATGGACTTCTAAGTGTATCTGATTAAGTGGGTTGGTTTTGTATGCTGAATTTTGTTTGAACCTGACTGTGAGATTGGGTCTGTTTGTCACTTTTATCTCCTGCTAGTAAAACATGCGGTTGTTGTATTGTAGCCCTGAAATGGCTCTATATGTCAGTGCCCACCTGTTTGAAGGTGCAGATAGTCCATAGGTTCTCTAGGGTAGTGCAGAGCAGCAGCTATTCTGAAGGAGCTATCTCAGGTATCTGTTTTTATGTACAGAAACAAGGTAGTTTTATTTTTTTGAATTTTATGACAGGTGTTTTAAATTTAGAGGAGAGGTGCAGGGGGGCGGGAGAAGGAGAGAGGAAGCAGCACCCACTTGTAGGAAGGGAAAGAATCCCCTTCAACTGACAGCTCTTTTGGAAAGAGTTTACTGGAGGAGGAGAAGGGATGGGAGACAAAAAATTGTCAGGAAGAAGCTGGTAGGGAATGGTTCATTTTCTTTCAGTAACCCCTAATAGAGCCATCTTGAAGGTTGTGTGGGCAGAACTATAGAAGACACTGATACAGACATTTGTCTTCCTTTTGTGTCATCCTATACTTTAAATGTATGTATTCCCTGTTTCCTTGCTTTATCAGACTTCTCTCTTTGTGATTTATAATCCAAATCCTTTAGGAAGGCACAGTCATTGTCTCGAGCAGTTGGAGCCCAAAAACTGTAGTATGTGATTCAACAGCCATGATATCACAGGGACCTCAGAGGATGAAACATTGGGAAGACAAGAACATGAGGAACATGGCCAGAGATTCAGGAAGCTGAGGGTGGGAGGAAGAAATCAGTTGCTGGAGTGGCTATGTAGATGTTGAGCAAGTGGGAAGAGAGGTGACTAAAGAAGAGATTTGCATATGTAGAAGGTAATGAAGTTGAGTCTTTGCCCACTGAGAGAGAGGACAGTGTGAGAAATACTTTATTATACAAAAATTAGGACTCAGGAGAGATGTCCTTGGAGCATCTCTGAGTAGGTTTCTAAACACAGCCTAAGTAGTTCCCAGGAGGATATTAACCTGTGCTCAGACTGGATTCTCTCCTGTATTCTCTGTTAGAAATGGATCTTCAGCTACTTACCTGATAAGTTGTGAGAGAATAGTTACATCAGGCTGTTGTGCTGTCACCTTCAATGCCTGGGCACTGTCCCTTTAGGAAAAGGACTGTAACGTGTGATGTCTAGCAGAGGACTGGCCTTGGTCTAAGAGATCTTTTCCAGCTCATTGTTGCTTTGATGATGGATGTGCCATAAGGAGATAGATTCATTATGTACAATGGCAGCAAAGAGTAAGTTGGTGTTTGGCTGAGCTCTTCTATTTATTATATGACAAAATAAATTTAAGCCAGTTTTCCCTTTGTGGAGATAAATAATTCTTGCCGTCCCAGCCCTAGTATGATTTCCATTTTTAATTCACCAGTAAAACATAAATAATGTAGTTTTACGTGACCTGATTGATACCATTTACACAAAATGCACCAGGACCAGAGCTCCTTGAAACAGTATGTGCCTGTGATGGATGGGAATGCAGAAGAGGTGACAGCAGTCCTCAATGAGGTTAGAAACCTTCTTGCAGCAGTGAAAGCATGTTCCTGCTAAAGAATCTCAGGAAATGCACTGGCTCTGCCTTCTAGGCAAACTAGGATAATTAAGTGTGGTAAAGCTTTTTGCTGGCAAATGTGATGTTCCTTTTTAGCATAATAAATCATTTTCATATTAAAAGCTGGAGGAAGACTCAGAATCCTAAAGCTCCTTTTGTACCGATCTTGGTGCCCTTGCATATGGCTGGGGTGAGCTCACAGTTGTCAGTGAGCTCAGTCATGGGAGGATTAAGCCAATAGTTCCTGCTGTTATTGCTGCAGGGAACCTCAGGCTATGGCAAGGCTCTTTTACACTGGGGAGTAAATCACATTGGCTGGTTTATGCACCATTATTGTAAAGTGGATTCTCATTTGAGATACTGAGTGGCTTTATTCCTCCCTGAGCGGGGAGGTGGTCTTTTCCCCTTGCTCTGCTTTAATATTCCCCCTTTCTCATTCCAGAGAAGGGGCAAAAATGAGTGTTTGGCAGCCACTGGCTTGGATTTTTCAGTAGAATGCCCTTAGTGAACTTCACAGAGGTTGCTGCAGATGAAGTCCCCAGAAATTTTGTCTCTGTATATTCTTGTGTAGTCATAGCATTGAAAGAAATTGTCATTCTTTAATAGTAAGTTTCCCAAGAAAATACGGTTATTGTTGATTCTAATTTTTTTTGTGGTGTTTTTTTCTGGCTTTCAGAGCTTACATTTGAAGCCCTAGATGAGTTCACTGAGCTTAACTTGTGTTTAAAACACTTGGATACCAAACACAAACCAGCAGTGACTTTGGTGTTAGTGGTTTTCTGTTACAGCACTATTCACTCTTGAGTGTTTGTAGGGGGATCGTGCATGCACCTGTAAGGGGACACATGTGGGGCTGTGGTGGCTCAGGGTGTCTAATGCTGAGGCAGCAAAGCTAACAAAGACATTGCTGTTGGATAGGCAAATGAGGTGCTTTGCCCCTCTGAGCAATGCTTTCCCATCCTCTGGAACTGAATGCAGTTCACAGGG